GGTGGTGGCTGCGCTGCTCTCGGTCGGCGTGCGCAGAGGTGGGCCGCGGCTGGCTGAGGTTACGGACGTGCGATGAGGTTGAGCCCACACCAGTGGCGGCTGAGCTTGGTGCTGTGGACAGAGCGGCGGACAGAGCAAAACAGCGGAGAAGAAAGAAAGAAAAGAGGAAGAAAGAAGAAGAAAAAAAGAAAAAGAAAGGAAAGAAAGAAAAGAAAAGGAGGAAATTTTTTTTTTTTTTTTAAGAAAAGAAAAGGCTACGGTTAAAAGGAAAAAAAAAATTTGCTCTTCTTCTTTTTTCTTTTTTTTTTTCGAATTATTCATTTGTTATTATTGTATTTATAAAATTATTTTTTTCTTTTTTTCTTTTTTTTTTATTATTATTTTTTAAATCCATAACTTTCCCGCGAACGTGACGCGGGCACGTCAAGAGGTCAAGAGAGCTCCCAGAAGTTTCAGAAATTTCTGATCGTGAGCGTCCTGCACATCCCCACGCGGGCACGTCATGAGGGCAAGAGAGCTCCCAGAAGTTTCAGAAATTTCTGATCATGAGCTTCCTGCACCTCACCACGCGGGCGCGTCATGAGGCCAAGAGAGCTCCCAGAAGTTTCAGAAATTCCTGATCGTGAGCTTCCTGCACGTCATCACGTGGGCACGTCATGAGTGAAGGTCACCCGCAAATCAGCAAAGACGAAAATCAACACCCAAAATCAGTCAAATTAAAGGGAAAACAGATTTAAACTATGTCACGAAACCAACAAGCAATTGAAAGAAACAATTGGGTTGCCTCCCAATGAGCGCCTTTCTTTAATGTCTTTGGCTAGACATGGTAAAGTGTCATTGATTAGGACACGATGGTGCGTCTAGCCTTATTGTTTCCACCTCTCCACCTGAAAATCCTTCGTAGTAATACTTGAGACGGTGTCCATTCACCACAAATTTGTTGTCTGTCTTAGCACTCTGGATTTCAACTGCACCATATGGGAAAACGTGAGTCACAATGAAAGGTTCAATCCAACGGGAACGTAGTTTACCTGGGAATAGCTTGAGCCTGGACTGGTACAGGAGGACCTTCTGACCAACCTCAAAGGTTTTTCTTGAAATTTGTTGGTCATGAAATGTCCGGCTTCTCTCCTTATAAATTAGTGCATTTTCGTAGGTTTCGTTCCGAATCTCCTCCAATTCTTGCAAATCCAACTTTCGTTGGACACCGGTCTCTTCTAGATTCATATTACATTGCTTTATCGCCCAAAAAGCCTTGTGCTCGAACTCCACTGGAAGGTGACACGGCTTCCCAAATACCAACCTGTACGGTGACATCCCTATAGGAGTCTTGTACGCCGTCCTATAGGCCCAGAGTGCATCCTCCAACCTTTGGCTCCAGTCTTTCCTATCAGGGCGCACCATTTTCTCTAAAATGGACTTAATCTCCCGGTTCGACACCTCTGCTTGACCATTGGTCTGAGGGTGGTATGACGTTGAGACCCTGTGGAGTACACCATACTTGCGAAACAACGCAACTATAGTTTTGTTGCAAAAGTGCGTTCGCCTATCACTGACAATAGCTCTAGGCATTCCAAATCGCACAAAAATATTAGACCTGATAAAATCTACAACTACTCTCGAATCATTAGTCCGAGTGGCCTTAGCCTCCACCCATTTAGACACATAATCAACTGCCAGCAAAATATATAAAAAACCACATGAAGTAGGAAAAGGCCCCATGAAATCTATACCCCAGACATCAAAAATTTCAACAAAAATCAACGGGACTTGGGGCATTTGATCTCTACGGGCTATATTACCTACCATTTGACAGCGATCACATGACTTGCAAAACACATAGGCATCCTTAAACAATGAAGGCCAATAAAATTCACTTTCTAAAACCTTATGAGCAGTTCTCTTGGGTCCAAAATGACCTCCACAGGCAAAAGTATGACAAAAAGCTAAAATCGATTGAAATTCCATCTCACTTATACATCTCCGCATCACTTGATCTGCACACCTCTTCCATAGGTATGGGTCGTCCCAGATAAAATACTTGGCGTCGCTCTTCAATTTATCCTTCTTCGATCTCGGCCAACCTGCAGGAAAATCACCCGTTACTAGATAATTGACCAAATCAGCATACCAAGGCATTTGAGAATTTAAGGAAAATAAATGCTCTTCAGGGAATGCATCCTTCAATGGCTCATTATCCTCCCCAACGGGTATACGACTCAGATGGTCAGCTACTAAATTCTCTGAGCCCCTTTTATCCCGTATCTCCAGGTCAAATTCCTGCAGTAGCAATATCCACCTGATAAGCCTCGGCTTTGCATCTTTCTTGGTCATCAGGTACCTTAATGCTGCATGATCAGAAAATACAATCACTTTAGCACCTAACAGATATGACCTGAATTTTTCTAGAGCAAAAATAACTGCAAGAAGCTCCTTCTCAATGGTGGAATAATTCAACTGGGCTCCATTCAATGCTCGGGATGCATAGTATATGACGTGAGCTGCCTTTCCTACTCGCTGCCCCAATACAGCCCCTACAGCATGATCACTTGTATCGCACATAATCTCAAATGGTAGACTCCAGTCAGGGGGCTGGATGATTGGGGGTGAAGTCAACAATTCTTTTAACTTGTTGAAGGCTTCCTCACACTTATCATCGAATTCGAAGGTCACATCCTTTTGTAGAAGTTGGAACAGCGGGGCCCCAATTTTTGAAAAATCCTTGATGAACCTTCGATAAAAACCTGCATGTCCAAGAAAAGAGCGCACCTCCCGCACACTCGCGGGGTAAGGTAATGCAGAAATAATGTCTATTTTAGCATTGTCAACTTCTATGCCCTTAGACGATACAATATGACCCAGGACTATCCCGTGCTCAACCATAAAATGACATTTTTCCCAATTAAGCACAAGATTAGTCTCTATACACCTTATCAAGATCAATCTCAGGTTATCTAAACACGTATCAAAACTATCACCATACACACTGAAATCATCCATGAAAACTTCAATAATTTTCTCCACGTATTCAGAAAAAATACTTACCATACACCTCTGAAATGTTGCAGGTGCATTGCATAACCCGAATGGCATTCGTCTGTAGGCAAAGGTCCCGAACGGGCACGTGAACGTTGTCTTCTCTTGATCCTCTGGGGCAATTGCTATCTGAAAGTATCCTGAAAATCCATCCAAAAAGTAATAATAAGCTCTACCAGCTAAACGTTCAACCATTTGGTCAATGAAAGGGAGAGGAAAATGGTCCTTTTTAGTGACGGCATTTAGCCTACGGTAGTCTATACACTGCCTCCATCCCGTGGGTTTGCGCACTGGCACGAGCTCACCCGTTTGATTGGCTTCTACCGTTACTCCTGCCTTCTTTGGGACTACCTGGACCGGACTCACCCAAGGGCTATCAGATATTGCAAAGATGATCCCCACATCTAGAAATTTTAGAATCTCTTTCTTTACAACTTCCATCATGAGGGGATTGAGCCTCCTTTGAGCCTGCCGTACAGGTTTGGCATCCTCTTCTAGTCTAATCCGATGCATACAGACGGCCGGGCTGATTCCCTTAATGTCTGCAATTGTCCAACCTATCGCCTCTTTATGCTCTCTAAGGACCCGGATCAGTTTCTCCTCCTGGATTTGTGACAGTGCCGATGAGATAATCATCGGGAGTGTCTCATTATCACCTAGATATGCATATTTCAGGTGCTCTGGTAGAGGTTTCAACTCCAGTACAGGTGCCTGCACCACAGATGGCAATACCCTCTGGTGAGGCTCGGGAGTAAAAATAGTTAAGACTTCATACCTTTCGTGGTGGTCTGCAATGAGTGTAATGCACCGATTGTGCATTTTAAATCCTCACTCCACTCCACCTGAGAAGTTGTCTCCAACTCAAGGTGCTTGGTTAAAGCCACCTCCAGCTCATCCCTGCCATCAGTTTCAAACACTTCCTGCACTATATGGTCAATAGCACTCACAGAGAAAACTGAGCTAAAGTTGGAGTTCGAGGGGTACTTCATAGTATCAAAAATATTAAAATGCACAATTTTCCCATCAAAGTCCATGGACAAGGTACCCTTATTAACATCAATTTTCGTCTGTGCAGTGCTCATAAAAGGTCTACCCAATAACAAAGGTGAGGGATCAGGGGAGTGATCATCATCCATATCAAGTACATAAAAATCAGCTGGAAACACCAAATCATTAACTTTTACCAACACATCTTCAACCAACCCATCAGGATATGCATTAGTTCGATCAGCTAATTGAATGATTATTTCAGTTTCTTTCAATGGACCTAATTTTAGAGAAGCATAGATAGATTTAGGCATGACATTAATTGATGCTCCCAGATCCAACATGGCCCTTCTGATCATAGTATTACCTATCCTACAGGGAATAGTAAACATACCTGGGTCCCCGCACTTTGGGGGAAGCTTTCTCTGCAGGACCGCGGACACATTTTCCCCAACAATAATCCTTTCATCCCCCCTCAATCGCCTTCGGTTGACACACAAGTCCCTTAGGAACTTGGCATATTTTGGTACTTGTTTGATGGCGTCTAAGAGGGGGATATTTATCACAACCTTGCGAAAAACCTCCAAGATCTCCTTCTCCTTATCCTGTTTCTTCGATTTTTCCAACCTGCTAGAAAAAGGAGGTGGGTTAGTTTTAACTGTAATTATTGGGTCAGGAAGTACCTTTGGATCTGCACCATTGCTGTCCTCCCTTTCAAGCTCATTTTCGATCTTCTCTTCATCCTTGTCCTTGGGGATCACAGGCTCAGACCCTTGAATTTCTTTCCCACTCCTTAGGGTCATTGCGCTCACGTTCTTCGGATTCAACTCCGGTTGAGATGGCAGCTTCCCTTGGTTCTGGGACTCCAAACGGTTAATTTTGGTGGCCATTTGACTCATCTGATTCCTTATGTCCTGCATTTCGGAGTCCGTCCTTTGCTGATTTTGCATAATAGCTGCCTCCGTCCTTTGCTGATTTTACGCCATGGTTGTCATCATTTGTTTCAGCATCTCCTCCATAGATGAACCAGATTGAGGGGGCGGAGGTGGTCGGGGTTGGTATTGTTGCTGGTACCCTGGGGGCTTATTTGGCACAAAGTTAGACTGCCTGTTCGGCGTGAAGTTGGGTTGCTTATTCCCTCCATAACTGAGGTTGGGATGATCTCTCCACCCGGGGTTGTAGGTGCTTGAGTAAGGGTCGTACTGCTTCCTTGGCGCGGCCGCGTGGTCAGCCATGTTCACCTGTTCTGCAGTTTCTTCCTGAATCATTGGGCACATGTCTGCAGAGTGACCTATACCAGTGCAAATCCCGCATACCCTGGCTTGTGATGCATTTCTCACAGCCTGTTGCCTAACAAACGCAGTCAACTCATTTAGCTGCTGCTGCATAGAGGGTGTCTCTACCTCATTCACCCTACGTATTGGAACATCCTCTCTCGTACCGAATTGTTGTGAATTTTCTGCCATCCCCTCTATTAGCTCCCGTGCTTCCTGAGGGGTTTTGTTCACCAGTGCCCCTCCACTTGCAGCATCAATGATGCTCCTATCTCTAAAAAGGAGCCCCTCATAAAAATATTGTATGATCAACTGCTCACTTATTTGGTGTTGGGGGCACCTGCGCAACAAGTTCTGATACCGTTCCCAATACTCGTAAAGTGACTCCCCTAGATGCTGCTTGATCCCACAAATTTCTTTCCTTAGACTTGCAGCCCTGGACGCAGGAAAATATTTATCCAAAATTTTTTTCTTCAATTGGCCCCATGTGGTGATGCTACCTGGTGACAGGTAGTACAGCCAGTCCTTCGCAGAATCTTTCAAGGAGAAGGGGAATGCCCTCATTTTTATCTGCTCTTCTGTGATTCTCGGGGGTTTCATACTATTGCACACGACATCAAACTCCTGCAGATGCTTATACGGCTCTTCACCTGGTAAACCATGAAAAGAGGGTAAAAGCTGAATCAGACCAGATTTTAGTTCAAATGGAATGTTGTCATTTAAAGCGGGGAAAGTAATGCATAAAGGCTGCTGAGTTAAATCAGGAGCAGCCAACTCCCTTAATGTTTGTGCATTAGCCATGGTGCCCTCCTCCTGGTTAGAGTCACTCGAAGTGTTACCAAACGAATCTGTTGGTTCAACTTCTGACTCGGGTCTTTGAGATGTAGCACTGGAGTGCTCTTCTCTGAGCTGTCTGGTTTCCTTTCTCGTTCTACGCGCGGTCTTCTCTACCTCAGGGTCAAAAATCAAATCACCTGTGCGAGAAAATCGAGGCATACACTAGAAGAAAACCAGAAAATTAGGACAAAAATTGAATTTAAAAAGAAACAAATAATAACGCCAGTCCCCGGCAACGGCGCCAAAAATTGACAGGTCGTCAGCCTGTGCAATAATAAAATTAAACCTAATTGCCAGTTAAAATGACCAAAACCCAATTCCAAGTACTGGAGCAGGGACTCTAGGTGTGCAATGGGTTACTTGATTCACCCTGTTCTCGAAGAGTTTGCTTGATCCGATATACCCGAATGGAATGGTTATTCCTTTTCACAAATAATTATGAATTTGTAGACAGGGCAAGTAGGGTCGTATCCACAGGGACTGAGTATATTTATTTCTTAAGAAATCCCAAGTGACATAGGGGGTGATTTTGTAGGAACGACGATAATTAAATAAATTCAAATAAGTAAATAAAAATAAACAACTAACTAACAATTAAACCACAATTCACTGGACTTAGGATAACAATAATTAAAGGCCTAAATCAATTAAAACAAGGAAATAATCAAAAATAAAATAAAGTAGGCAATTAAAAGTCAAATGGCAATCCACTACAACCAAGGTAATATTAACTAAAGATCTAGCCAAGAAGTAACTTCAGCAATGGTTCACCTAATTGATCATTGATGCAAGGCAATCCCAATTATTTACCAATAAATAGGTTATAACTACCAAACAAACGATGGCAGTCAACCCCTCCTTACTGTGTCGGTGATCAAGGTACGCCCGTTAATCACTGCTCTAATTGAGAAATAATCCTAGGTACGCCCGTAGAATTTAATTCTCCAACTGCCTTACGTATTAGAGGAGCCCTATTCTAACCAAATAACACACTACCAGGGTTATTTTAGATTAGCCCGCGTATCCCCCTGACACGAATCTAATCGTGCCAGTTGTCACTATTTTGAGGTAATTAAACAATTACGGATTTAATACCCCAATTGACAATAGATTACCAAATCAATTAATTACCCGGATCCAAGACAATCAACTAATCAAATAACCATAAGCAGAGTACACAGGGAATACACGAATACCAATAAGTAAAAGGGAAAGATTAAATTAGATCGATCTCATAATTTTCAGGTGACCCAAAGTATCCGTCGTTTCTTGACTAGAACGAGGGGATTAGCTCATATTGGATGAACTAAGCCCGCGGGAAATTTCAACAAAAGTCACGGCCACTGCCTGCATTTCAGGAGCCGCAATTCGTCGAATAATTGGAAAGCAAATGAAAAGCGCAGGTGACAATTGAAGCTTTTTAATTGTTCCTAGCATTCGTAGAGCAAAGTCATTCACAAGGTGCAAGAAAGAAAAGTCAAAGAAATCAGGCTCCCATTCCTTGCTCCTGACATGCGTGGAGACAAGCCAAAAGAAAACTAACAAGAAAAGTCTAAGGCTAAGAATTCCTAATGCCTGCCATTCGTACGTTCCTTCAGCCCAAACAAAACAAATTCAAGGAAAAAGTCAAGAAAATGTCTGCCAAGGTCAAAAACTTATCATCCGGCCAGCCCCCCTCTGATTCCCTTTTTCTTCCTTTTTATTGCCGCGGCTCATCAGGAGGAAGAAACCCCCCGTCCGTCACTTCTTTGCGGAAATTACCAACGTGGGCGTGATATCTCCTCTTTCCAAAAACGCCCCCGGGACCATCTTTATCATCTGGACTTCGTTTCTGTCAAATTGGCACCTGTTATCACATTTTCGTTCTACTCCCTGAAATAAGTGCAAATTACGAAAAGTAAGTTGAATCTACTAATTAATTCACATCAGGTCAGGTAATAGGGAAAATTAATAATAAAATAAATAGCGAAATTACACCCTATCACTTCCATCTGTCAATCAAACCAACAATTTGCTTGCCACTACCGTCACCTTCTCGCCATTGTTGTCGTGTACATTTTTATCGTCATCTCTATTACTGTTATATCTCAATATAAATTCAAGAATTTTCATGCATTTTCGTGTAAAATTGATGATACATATCTATATGATGGCTCTTGAAGATCATCTTAGTACTAAATTGTACAAGATTTGGTTGTGATTTGAGGGTACAAAGAGGGTTAGATCCATTTCGATTCTAAACCTATTTTACTACTTTTTGTTCCATTTTTTGACCAAATTGGACACCGGAAATAAATCTGCACCACAAATAGAGCTCGGGATGCATATTTGATAAAGTTTCGATAGTAGCCGTCGCAGCCGACACAGTGGTGGCCGAATGGGCCGATGGTCGCACAACTATATTTTTGCTCATGGGATTCTAGTTTGCTGAAACAAGGGCAAAATTAGAAATAAAAAAGAAGAAAAGAAAACAAAAAGAAAAAAAAGTAAAGTAAAATCAACATCAAATTACCATCTTACATTGTCATCCATACTTGCGTATCAAGAGTGTACAGTTCACTCTCTATTATTTGCATAGTTTTTGTTCATTTCCCAAATAAGTCCCAACCAAAATGGGGTCTTCTAGTTATTTTTAAATAATAGAGAGATCTCATGACCTTAGACCTAACCATAAGGGGGTTTTGTGTATTTTACACTTTATTATACTAGGAGAGGAACACCGCACCATGCGCGGTGTGAAGTTACAAGTTTAACATGCCCAGTGGGAAGTTAAAAGGCTAAAACGACCAGAGCCCTCATTGGCTTTATTTTTCCAACCATAAATTATTTTTTTATCATTTTCTATATGTGGTAGATAATGAAGTATTTTGTCAACATTTCAATTAAGAAAAGAAATAACACTAATAAAGTTGAAGAGCATAATAACACATAATTGAGATAAGCTCACCAACTGTACGATGCACCTCATTACCTGTGAAAAGTTACAATTTAAGATATAAGATACATTCATCCAGAAATATTGACTGCTATTTCTAGAAATGCCTCTCGTCTTTCTTATCTTCCGTCGCGTTCAATCAGCCAATTATAGTGGAACTATGTATTAGTGGTCAAAATTAAAAAAAAAAAAAGCATCACAAAGTTTGATATCTCTACTATAGCAAGTGGCTGTTGAAGTAACTAATGACTTCTGGTAAAGATATTGGAAAGGATAAAACAAAGTATCAAGCATTCATGACAAAACTCCATAAGCTTCCATTAGCTTCCAAGTTCCAGCTATCCAAATATCAATCAGATCTGCCAAGAAGGAATCATATTAGAATTTAATAACATTTTGTGTAAATAGTATAATGACAATCTTGTTAAATCACAGGTAACGCACCCGTAGTTTTTGCCACACTTCATTGCAAAATTGTAAGGAAATAATAAAACATGAAATATAAACAAAGTCGTCAAGAACATATTCCCTACTCCTAAGTTTGAGCCACCATTATATTTGAATAATACCTCTTGCCATTCAACTTTTTGTCAAACATTAATGTTGGATATATAAATAAAGAATAGAAAGCCAATAAACAGCAGATGCATTTTGAGCCACGCATTTTGAGCCACCATCTTATTCGGATAAATACCTCCTGCCAATCAATTTTTTCTCAAACATGAATGCTAGGTATACAAATAAAGAACAGAAAATAAAAAACAACATATGCATTTTAGCCTATAAATCACGTAGTTATAACTGATAATGGTGGACTAAAGATCTACATATAACTGATAAGAGAAACAAGCCATTATCTCGTGTCTAAAATCTTATTACGACAATGAATGAGTTTTGAAAAACCAAATCAAATAATTACACAATGAAAATATTTCAGATGCAAGATATGTTTTACGTCAACAACATACAACAAATTTAACATCTTTTTTTCTTTTTCTTTTTCCTTTTTTTTTTTGCATAAAAGAAACTTTAAAATAACATATAATCCTATCCACATACAAAAGAGATCTCCAAAATGCAGTCTCTATAGACCCATAATGAAAACTCTGTCAATGAAGTTTTCCCCGGCTGCAGCTTCATGCGGTGATGCAGATGCAAAACCAAGAAAGTCAAAACCAAGCTTTGGACACAAAAATTCACAATGAAAATCAATAGATAAAAATAGACCAATCCAGCAAGCCATCTCTAAGCCTAAGGTAAAGCCAAGGGGCAGATTTCTGAGAGGCACTGACAAATCTAAACTGCATCCGGAGTCTTTTCAAACATCGGATTTTCCAGATTATCATATTCTACTTAGTATATTATTTGCGGAATGCTAAAAAAGATCATTCCAATATTATACAGAAATCTATATAAGTTGCCATCTAAACTGGATATGTTAAATGCAGATCTTGTCAAACATCCAGGATTTCTTGACGACATGAGCAATTTTCTTCCTCTTAAGTAAATTATTGCAGAATGTTCAAAAAGTTTATTGTAATCTTACAATCCAAAATTCTTTAACAAATCTAAGTCATTATATAATTGATGAATTCTGTTACACAAGTTTCAGCTATTTAAATTTTTCAAATTCACCAGAATGGATGTAAAAGGGTTGAAGAATAAGGGTTCTCTGGTATAGGTTTCAAAAAATGGCATATTTCCATTCAGAATTTGTCTTGATAGTACTTCATTTGGTACAATAAAGGATGCCAATAGAATATTCCAATTTAATGCGTATGGTCCTAATCATCAAATATAATGAACTACAAGTCGTAACTTAGGAAATCATGATCGTAGAACTATTGTTCTTGCATGCCTTGATCATCGTCAGCTCAGGTGCAAAACATCCTCAAGAGCAACAAAACTGAACCATCACCATAATCCAGGCTAGTTACTTGGAATTCTACAGATTACAATTTAACGCCACTAATTGCATGAGATAATTTAAGAATCCCAATGAGGATCTTATTTCGATTTCTGCAATTAT